GCAACGGTGATAATGGGCAACCCTGTCTAGTACCTTTCTCTATTGTAAAAACCTCTGACAAACCTCCATTAACGATAAGTTGTGCCGTTTGTTTTTGATATATTACCATAAGAGCTTGCAATATCTTTTCACCAAAATTCATCTCTTCCATTACTCTTAATATAAAATGCCAATTCAATTGATCAAAAGCTTTTTCAGCATCTAAAAATATCAGCCCTGCAGGAACTTGGTTGTTTTTATCTAAATATTCTAATAAATTAATAATTTGTCTGACATTATTTTTCATGTACCTTCCAGTTATGAACCCAGATTGATCTTTATGCACAAGGTGGTGCACAACCCTCATAAGCCTATTTACTAAGATTTTTACAAATATCTTGTAATCCACATTTAAAAGAGATATAGGCCTATAATTCTTAGGTAAAGTAAGATCTTGATCTTCCTTTGGAATCAATGATATAAAAGCAGTACGCCATGAGGGAGGAATCTCTTGACCCTGTAAAATGCCATTAAAAAGATCACCTAATGGTTGAGTCATCTCCTCCAATAAGGCTTTATAATAAACAGCTGTTAACCCATCCGTACCCGGTGCTTTCCCTGGTTTCAATTGTTGAATTGCTAGCGAAATTTCCTCCTTAGTAATTAAACCATTAACTTCATGTTTCTGATCCTCTGTCAATTTAGGGAAACTAACCTCACTTAAATATTTATTTATCTCTAAAATTTGCACATTAGTAGATTTATATAATTTTTGATAATAATCCAAAAAAGATTTCTTAATCAATTCCTTCTGAGAAACTAATTTACCCTTGTAATTTATTTTATCTATTGTTCTCTGTCTCTGTTTCTTTCTCAACTGATAAGCCAACCATCTCCCTGGCTTGTTAGCATTACAAAATGTGTTTTGTTTCATAAACAATAAATTGGTTGCAGCTTGATCTGCTAACAACATATTAAATTGTGTTCTTAACAACTTTAAAGATTCTTTAATACTTTCATCAGAAGGATTTAAAATCAAAGACTTTTCTTTTAATTTAATTTCATCTTCCAATTCTTTACGTTTCTGAATCTGTTTTTGCTTATGACAGTTATTCATTTTTATCAAAATCCCACGCATAAATGCTTTCCCTGCATCCCATACCATTGACATTGAAGTCCCCTTATACATATTCAAAACAAAGTAATCCTTTAAACACTCCTTTAGTTTCTGAACATTTTTTTCTTGTCTAAATAAATTCTCATTCACCCTCCAGGATCTTCTCTCCTCTTTTTCTTGAGTCAACTCCATCCAAACTGGACTATGATCCGTCAAAGACCTAGGGAAAATCTTGACATTCTTTACTCTATTATATAAGTCCGTTGTAATCAAGAAGAAGTCAATTCTTGAGAAGGATTGGTGTCTATCTGAAAAGAAGGTAAAGTCTTTCTCCTCTTGATTACATTCCCGCCAATAGTCCCGTAATTCCCAGTCCTCTTTCATATCAAAAAAGGCTTTAGGTAATTTTGCCTGCTTAAAAAGAGGAGAAGAGCCTTTTTTGTCCCTTTGTACGTCTAAAACACCATTCCAATCCCCCATTAATACCACGGATCTGTAGTCCAGCAGATTTATTTTTTCATGTAAAAGTCTATAAAATTGTTCCTGTTGCTGATTTGGTGCATATAGTCCCACTATAAGTACTTTCTTACCATATAAGCCCAATTCAACCATCACATATCTCCCTTGGGGGTCAGACTCCACCAGACAAACTGGTAGATTTTGCTTGACATAAATAACAACTCCCCCCTTCTTCCCGGGAGCAGAAGATACGAAGTGAGATCCCAGACGGGCATTAACTAAATATTTCTGATCCTTAAGTAAAATATGAGTTTCCTGTAAGCAAATAACATCATTATTACGTTGCTTCAAATAATAAAAGATTTTTTTCCTTTTCTGAGGAGAATTCAATCCATTAACATTCCAGGTCAAAAACTTTGCCATCTCCCTTGGCCCGCAGCCTGGAGAAGACACCTTGGAGATCTGAAATTGCAACATGTGTTGCATGACTCTTGGGTCTTGCTCCTCCCACCGGCGGTGATACATTTCCAGGAGAAATCTCTTTGGCCTCTTTCTTACGTTGCTCCTTCTCTTTACGTTTATAAGCTGCACGAGTCATTCTCTGCTCTTTAACCTCCGTCTGGCGTTGCCATTCAGCTTGCAGCATCCCAGCAGAAACCGAACTTAATGCCTCAGACTGCTGCTCCACCTCTTTGCCACTCAGGGATTTCTGAACAGGTAAAATTGAGCCTGCACCTAGGACTAAAGTATAGAATTCTCTAGCTTTATCAACCGTATTCAATCTATAACGTGTCCCCGAATGGCTCAGAACAATACCCATCGGGATTTCCCATCTAAATGGCATCGATCTAGCTTTAAGCTCATTAGCTAAGAAAGCAAAATCTTTCCTGCTTCTTAAAATTTTTGATGGGATTTCCTTTAGTATAATGACATCTTGGGCAGCTATCTGAAATCTTTTATTATAAAAGGCTTGTATGATCTCATTACGCAGAGACTTCTTCGTAAAATAAATCACCACATCTCTAGGCAAATTCTTCTGCTTAGCAATCCAAGAGTTAAGCCTGTACACTTTTTCAACTTCTCTGCGTAATTCTTCTTTGTCCATGTCCAAAACCACAGCCAAATCAGTAAGGACCACCTCCATCAGATCTTGATTCATATCTTCCTTGAGGCCTCTAATCCTCAAAGCATATTCCATCTGCCTGTACTGAAACATCAGAATATCTTCTTGTGAAGTCTCCACCTTCCTTTCCACATCTTGAATTTTATCATCAAAGGAATCAACTTTATCTTCAACTTCCTCAAGTCTTGCATTCAGCTTAACCATCACTGTAGCCAAACCTGAGACTGCTGCAAGTATATCTTGTCGCAAAATATTATTGTTCTTTTCCAATTGATCCTTCATCCCACTTATCTCTTCTTTGAAGTCAGATTTAATTTCTGATTTAAGCTGTGTAGAAAGTTGCTTCATTTCCTCTCTCATTTGAGCTACAGCCTCTCCCATTATACCTCTAGCCTCTTGTGCTGAAAGTCCAGGCAAAGGAGGGGAGGGTGGTGGCTGTGCCGGTGGTGCATGTTTAAGTTGTTGTTGTGGTTGTGCAGTAGAAGTTATAGGAGAGGAAATCACCTTGGATGTTGTAGAAGGCGGCTGTCTCTTTGAAGCCATTTTAAATAACACAGTTCTCACTTCCCTTTCCCCCCCCCCAAAAAAATGAGGGGGAAAGAGAGAAAAATTTTACTTTTAAAAGAGGCAGCAAAAACACTATAATCCTTGAAAATCCAGAGGAAAAAAACCAAAAAGAAAAAGAAAATCAAAAAAGAGGATTCAATACCAAAAGCAAAAGTAAAGTCCAGTCCTTAACAGGAGAAAGTGAAACAGGAGAAAGTGAAACAAAAGACAAGGAAAAAAAACTCCGTCACTTTCAAAACTCCATCTTAATTCCTTCTCCACAGTAATAAAAAAAAAAGGAGAAATAGTCAGAACTAAATAAAAAAAAATAAACACCTAAATTATATTAAAAAAAATCCTTTAAACTGCTCTGTCCGTTTTTTAGGAATTACTCACCAACTCTCTATAAGCACGGAGATAGAAGCGGCAGTTTCTTTTGCTTCCTAGGAAGCAAAAACAGCTGGGAGGCGGAGACAGCAAGAGCTCCGAGGGAACACTCCTTTCACCCCCTCTAGGATTAAATCCAGAGAGGATTCAGGGGTTCTACCTCTACTCTTGCACTCTCTGTCCCTTCCCTTTGCCCGGGAAGGGAGTTCCGAGCCGCGGACCAGCTGATGCGCGCTGTGCTCCGCGGCTCTGACACTTTCCCAGCTGGACGGCTAAAAAATAGCCGCCATCGCTGTCGCTCCGTACCAGAAGTCCTCCTCCCCAGCAAATCTTAATAGTTGTACTATTACCACTAATTATTTTAGACTATAAATACATAATGAAAGAGATCAAATAATTTAAACAGAAGCTATGTATATAACATCTTTCATAACTAACTGTATAAAATACCTGAAGTATTTATTTGAAGAACAGAATTAAGCCACAGAGATTTAATTAAAGACAAACTGCATTTATTTTTATATCCATGAATATAATATAAGCATACTGAAGACATGAAGTCCAAGATGATAGGAGATAATGCTGAAACTTGAGGGAAGTAAAGCAAAAAAACAACACTTCAGTGGAAAGAGAGGGAATGAGACTATAAGGATTGTGAATTATACTAACATGGACAGCCTTTATACTGGTTTTCAGATTTCCAAAGAATATTGAGAATTTGATTTGTTTTTCCTAATTTGCAATTTTACATCAAAGTCAGGAAAATTATTAGGATTTCAGTTTCAGATTTCAACAACAAATTGGATAATCTCTATTAAAAGAAAGGCACCTTACTTTCAATATCTGTTAGATTGTACAGTGTCTGGAAATCTGCTATTTGCTCTCCAAGTACATTGGTCTACAACTCCCATTTGCTTTAGCCCAATATATAGGAGCCACTGAGTTGTGGAAGGCTGGAATACTCTGCTGCACCAAATGAAGTGAAAGTTTGCAAAGGAAGTTTACTCTTTTTTATCCCCAGTTCACATCTCCAATGTTCAAAATGCCATCATTTAACAATACTAATAGAAAAACCCAGATAATCCTTGACTTATGACAACAGAGCCCTACATTTCTGTTGCCAAGCAAGACAATCCCATTGTATGACCTTTCTTGCCACAGTTGTTAAGTGAAACACTGCAGCTGTTAAGTTAGTAACAAGGTTTTAAGCTTCCCAATTGACTTTGCTCAATGGCGGGAACAACCGGTTCTCTGTGTGGATGCTGCTTCCAGAAGTCCATTCTGGGTCCGGGCAACAAAAAAATAGCTACCAGTTCTGCCAAAGTGGTGCAAACCAGCTGAATCCCACCACTGACTTTGCTTGTCAGAAGGTCGCAAAAGGTGATCACGTGACCCTGGGACACTGCAAACTTCATAAATAGGAATCAGTTGCCAAGCGTCTGAATTTTGATCATATGAGCATGGGGATGATGCAAAGGTTGAAAGTGTAAAAAATAATCATGTCATTTTTTTCAGTGCTTCTGTAACTTCAAATCATCACTAAATGAACTATTGTAAGGATTACTCTATTCCAAAATGGCCAGTTGTGCAATTTCCCTCAGATCTAATAATCATCTTGATGTAAACTGCATTTGTGATATTTGAAAGTACATTCTAAATCCAATATTTAACAGTAAAATACATACCCCAGTTAATGCAATTGGATTGCACAGCTTCTTCTTGTTATTGATTTTAAAAGCATTTTGTGTGTTCTTCACTAACTATAAGCTGTATGACTATGCAAAGTTTTAATCTGCAACAATATAAATAATACCGAATAGGCAACTTGTCCTCCACCATAGTTCTATTGATGTAATCAGTTTCCTGCCATATTTCAGCTCAAGCAATCTATGAGAGGAATATCTCATTCTTTTTTCTAGAAGAAGAATGCATGTATATAGCTGTGTGATTGACATTATTAACCTTTTAAAATCTGTAAGCAATCTCAGCAGCTATTTTAACACATTGTAAAAGAATGGTTGCATTTCCTTTAGGCCTGTCAAATATAAAAATTTAAGTGCTCTGTACATGCAACCCACCCTGATAGAAAATATATAACTTAAAATAAATCCTACTAGCTATTCAGAAACATTTTTCCCTCAAAATCCATCTATTGGTCAGTCACATGAGATATTTTCCATGGTTACTATATATTTCACATTTTGATTACGAATTAGATTTACCCAAAGAGCTATTGGAAAAGTTACAGAAAACTTGTTATCTGATGCAATGTGCAATATTTTTAATAATAACATTCTTTAACTGCATAATGAAATAGAATGCACATCAAATTAATGTCAAATTACAATTTACATGATAACAAACATAAACTTTAATTACTCAAAAAGCATTACATTTAGACAAAGTATTAATGCGTTGGGGCAAAACTAAAGAAACACTTTGACAGAAAATGAAAATCAACTATTTCAAATATATAATTTTATTCTTTCTGACAACTGAAGAACATTTTATTAAAAAGACTACTTATGCAAATAATCATTTATAGATTTAAAGTGTACATTTTCAGTCTTTCCCCACCACCTTCATAATATATCATATGGTATATTTTAGACATTACATTTTGAATATAAAAAACTTCAGCAAGGCTTAAATGTTTACCAGTGACAACAATATTCCTCCCACACCTCTGCAGATCTGTATGTGTCACAGAGTATAAATATGGGAATGCTTCTTAATAGAGATTAATTACAAAAGGACAGATTGCAAACAAGATCCAGCTTCAAGCTCCATTCCTACTCTGAAATATCTAAAGATGTTTTTCTGTCTTTTGTTTTAGAGTTCATAGATGATAAAGTGGCTTTCCAGTATGCAGAGTACATTACATGACCAAAGCTTCTTCTCACCTTATTAGATTTCATGTTGGATGTAAAAGATTCTTCCTCTTAGATCAAGACAACTAAACATATTGACTTTTAGAATATGCACTCTCAGCTCTTCTTTGAACATTTCGGCTGCAGTAGGTAGTCGGTTGTGAGGGCAATGAGTATCGGTACCTTCGGGTTTTTTCATTGCAATGGCAGAAACAACATAAAATTGCCCCTCCAGCCACAAGACAGAAAGCTGAAGCCCAGCCTATGTAAAGAGCTTCTCCAAGTTCTCGCTTCTGAGCTACTGTGACAATGGGATTGTAGAAGTCTCGGATAATGTTATGGGCAACAAAGCACACCGGGATGAGCACCACGATGCCAGTCAGGATGAAGACGATGCCACCTGCAAGCAGAATATAGCCTTTGATGCGGTCATCATTTCCTGTGCACTGGGTACACTTCATGCCAAGAACAGCCACTGCAAAAGCGATGAATGCCAGAGCTGAGGCTGCACACATCAAGCCTCTTGAAGCCTGCAGATCTGGTGAGAGAGCCAGGAGGGAGTCATAGACCTTGCACTGCATCCTGATGGACGCTTGCCTTATGCAATTCATCCAGAGGCCTTCCCAAATTGTCTCAAAGACCACCACGTTGTTTTCAATGAAAGCCGTCACTCGCCACTGGGGCATGCCGGTGATGGCAAAGGTCCCAACAGTGCCAATGCCTCCAAGGATCAGTCCTACAATCTGCAACGCAGTAGCTGCTGCCATTTCCTCATCCCAAGTCAGTGGAATGTGTTCCAGAGACGCTGAGTTTTAGATGAATCTTCTTTTACTTTACTGAGTCAGATCTTGTGTTGAAAAAATAACTTTTCAAAACATTTCATGCTCAGGTACAAAAACTCTGTTAACTCAAACCCATTTCAGTCTGATCCGCACTGATTAGGGGTTGGCTGTCCCTTTGCTGTTTTGAGCATACCACTGCCCTTATCGATTGGATAAACTTATCTGTCAGGTTTTACAACTTTCAAAGCCAGTGAAAGGTTACAAATAACAAGGCTTGCAAAGTTCACAAAAATCCTCTTAAGACACACCTAAACCTTTGAAGAAAATACTTTTTCCCTTAAACTTTCTTCTCTTTTTATCATGAGATTATGTTATAAAACTAGAGTGTGATAATATACCAATTCATTTTTTTAACAAAAATCCCTCCAATTAGAAACCAAAAATATTATTGGAGTGTTCTAACATAGCATTGACATTTTTATAATCTTAGAGTTAGACTTCAGATGGAAAATATACGGTAAGTTAGCTTTTATTTTCCTGTATTGACCAGTGAAACAAAAGTTTTAAATACTGCAACTACCATAGTGGTTAAATATGAATCCAAGGCAAATTAACCCTGAATGGAAAACAATATGTCAGTGACTGGATTTGTAAAATGTCATATGAAAAATTAAAGCAAAGATTTGCAAAACCTCATTACAGGTAGTCTTCAGGATATGAAAGCAACTGGGCCTGGACCTCTATTGCTAAGTAATACAACTGTAAAGCACAAAGTCATGTGACTGCATCACTTAGCAATGACAATCGTGACAGACCTGGTTGCCATCATAACCACCAGGACCACAAGTGAGGACCCCACATGACCATGACGTGAGAAGCGGCAGGAATGCCAGACAAGCAGTCAGCAGGCTAGAACTGCAGGTGAGAACCACAGGCAGGTGCTGCAGCAGGCAGGTGTCATGTGCAGGTTCTACAAAGCATAGACAGATTGGTGGCATGGGCAGTGTTATGCAGTAAAGGCAGTTACATGGATAATACTGGGTGATGCTATAGAGCAGAGATCCCCAACCTTTTGGGCACCAGGGACCAGTTCCGTGGGCAGAGGTTTTTCTGTAGACCAGAGAGAGTGTGGTTTTGTGTCCTCCTCCTTCTCCTCCTCCTCCTCCTCCTCCTCCTCCTCCTCCTCCTCCGCACTGACCAACTACAGCTGCATGCTTTCCTCTAAGCCAGTGGTTCTCAGCCTGTGGGTCGGGACCCCATTTGGGGTCGAACCACCATTTCACGGGGGTCGCCAAACAAGGCTGTCCGCCATTTTTTCCCCTTTTCTTTGGCCACGCCCCTGGCACCCGGTGATGTATAAGTGGTTGGGGGTCACCACAACATGGGGAACTGTATTATGGGGTCACGGCATTAGAAAGGTTGAGAACCACTGTTCTAAGCAAACAACCAAATTCAGAGAGCACCTGATCAGGCACTGTTTTTTATTTCGTAAGTGCCCTAATCTTGAGAGCACTGACATGCATGTTGCAGCTGAAATAGCGAAACTTGTCCAGTATTTAACAATAATTATTTTTAAAAAATTGCTCATCCCAATTAAAACCAGAAGCTCATTTCACAGTGGTTGGCTTTCTAAGATCTTGTGAAAATAATAATTCCCTATGGAGTGAATCATTTACATCTCTCCCAGTCTCTCCCAGGCCAAGGGCCCATAGCTTTTAAACCTGACACTACCTTGCTCAGACTGTAGAAGCCAAGAAGCTCAAAGAAATTAATTCTTTTTAACTTCGAAATCCTAAAAATGTCATATTTTCTGAAAAGTCTATTTATAGCTTCTAGTTCAGCCTCCTCAATTAGATGCACTGAATTCCAGCAGCCATTGGTTCTAAGAGTTTGGGGCAGTGATGATATAGAAACTCAGTCAAGTTTTAATGACTGAGGCAAATGAACAGGTAGTCCTCAGACTTATGACCCACAATTGAGACCAGAAATTCCGTTGCTACTCAAGTTAAGTAAGTCGCATTGAATTTTACGACTGTTTTTGCCATGGAGGTTAAGCAAATCAGTACACGTTCAGTGAATCATGCAGTGATACATTGATTATGTAAGCTGACTAGAACAGAGGTCCCCAATCTTTTGGGTACCAGGGACCAGTTCCGTGGAGAAAGGTTTTTCCATGGACCGGAGGGTATGTGGTTTTGTGTACTGTCTGCATCTCGCAGTTGGGGCTTTGCTTGTTTGTGTGGACCGGTTGCTGGCATGCTGCGGCCCGGTACTGGTCCACAGACCGGGAGTTGGGGACCCCTGCTATACAGTACAGTTAGTGTGCAAGTAGCATGGCAGGTGCACAGGTGATGTGGCAGGCACTATGGAGTGTGGGAAGATGTGTAGGTGCCACAGGCAGGTGCTATGGAGTGTGGGCAGGTAAGTGGGTACTACTGGCAGGTGCAATGGAGCATGTGTGAGTATGTCGGTGGCCAAGGACAAGTGGAGGAGTACCACAGTCAAGCACTATGGCATCTGGACAGCATTGTGGATGCTGCAGACAAGCAAGAGAAAAAATGGTGGGAGTGATTTGTGACCTCATGCCAGCTTTCCTATTGGCTTTTCTAATGGGAAGCCAGCAGAGAAGTCACAAATGCCAATCACCTGACTGCGGGACATCGCAACCACCATAATTGTGAGTTGGTGGCCAAGTGCCCAAATTCCATGATTACAGAAACAATGTGATAGTCACAACTTCACAGACCGGTCATAATTCCTCTTTGTTCGATACCATCATAACTTTGAACGGTTGCAGAGTGATAGTTCATATTCCAAGAACTGCGTGTAGTAGCATTTCACAATTAGTAAATAAACGAATAGACTAACTGTATTATATGAGTTTATTAATTTAAAAATCTGAACATTCATCATGACTGAAATTCTGTGATGTCTAATTAAATTAGTAATTCTAGCTACAGTTGGTTCCACTCTTAAATCTGTTGCTTCCTTTCTCTGGTTTCTTCCCTAATATATTGACTCATTATCAAGTCAATGCATGTAAATCTGAAAATATTGTATCTGGAATTTCTCTGTTATCACTCCCTCCTGGCTGAAATCAATTTTCTATTCCCCAAACAGCTCTCCTCTTTTCTAAATCTGTCCTAAATAAGATAAAGCACTAAAATGTAGCTCCGTTTAAAATGTTCAAGTCTGTATGTATGTGACACAGATATATTCTTATTATTCTACACGTAAATTACTTAGTAGTTAATTAAATTGAATATTGTTCATGGTACATGTGTGTGTATTTAAAATTCTGCAGTATAGAGCAACATTGATAAGCTATCATATGCTTAAATGATATTGAAAATATATTTCTTTCACCAAGAATTTAAATACCTTCTGCTTCAAGAATGATGCACAACCAGTTTTCATTAGTCCTACTCATTCCATGTTCTATAGGAAAGTCACTCAATCTGTGATTAGAAATCACACATTCAAATTTTATTAAATAAATAATTAAATGCTTGGTATGGAAAGCTCATACTTCCACATATCTAAACTAAGTCTCTCCTCTACAGCTGCCTTCTCCATAAAATCGTACTCTCTTTCAGGTAAGAAACTAATGCAGGTAGTTCCCGACTTACAGCAGTTCATTAAGTGACCATTCAAAGTTACAACGGCATTGAAAAAAGTGACTTATGACCATTTCCATACTCATGATCGTTGCAGCGTCCCCCAGGGTCACTTGATCAACATTCAGACCTTTGGCAACTGACTCATGTTTACGATGGTTGCATGTTTTGGGATCATGTGAACCCCCTTTTGTAAGCTTCTGACAAGCAAAGTCAATAGAGAAGCCAGATTCACTTTACAACCAAGTTACTAACAATGACTCACTATGATTGTGTTGTGATTCATTTGACAACTGTGGCAAGAAAGGCCATAAAATGAGGCAAATTCACTTAACAAATGTCTCACTTAGCAACAGAAATTATGGGCTCAGTTGTTGTAAGTCGAGGACTACCTGCAGTAGGAAATGCTGATCGGGGGCGGCTGGTTGAAGCCCCTCCCCCACACAGCTCATTAAAGACACTTTTATTGAGATGCAGCCAGGGAGAGAAAGCTGAACTCCCTTCTTTTGAAGTATTGCTTTCCCTGTGTCAAGCATTTAATTTTTAAAAAGCAGTTCAGTGGCTTTCAATTAAATAATTAATGTCACACTCAAGAAGTAAGCAAAAAAATATTAAAATGATCATCAAATGCTTCTTCAGGTGTACATTGTCTGTGATTCAAGGAATTGTAACTAATGCTGAAAAGTGCTTGTCGTCGTCCTCCTCCTCCTCCTCCTCCTCCTCCTCTCGTACTTCAATGTACAATTAATATATGAGGCAATGGCTACTTAATACAAATTGTTCCATGGAGAGATGAAGAGGAACATTATGCTTGAACCAATGTTATACCATGATATTTGGCTGCTTGAAGCAGAAAACAAAATGGTTGAATATCTTTCTTTTTGTTTTCTTGTTGAGCACCATGAGTTTCCAGAGATAGTCTATCAGGTAGCTGCATAATGACAGTGAACAGAATTCAAATCTGTAAGTAGGACCACAATCTCAAATAAGCGGGTTCTATATTTTCTTTCTCTCTCTCCTTCCGGTATGCTAAACTGCTGGAAAGCAACAGGCGTTCACAGATTTGTATTAATACTTTACAGAAGTGTTTTGAAAGCAGGCCAAGACCTTTGTGTTTGAGTCCAGTTTTAAAATGTATCCTACAGTATTCCCACATCAAGTCAGGTTTTTGTCCCTCCCTCATTCCACTAATGACGATGGCCCAGACCCAGCATTTCATCATACTACAGGCCTGGCTGGGCTGTACCTTGCCTGGCCTAAGTTCAAATAACTCTATACTTGCTTGTTTAAGTTTTTTTTTTAACCTCGCATGAAATCATGGTTGATAGCTAGTAATTCCCCAGCTCCACCCCCAAAAAAGAAAAGAAATACTAGGTGAATCACATATAATGGCAGCTAGTTTAGATAATACAATAAAAAGAGATAACATCTACATGCCAAAGGCAAGTCATAATTGTGCTACTTTCACACAAGTGTTCAGATTTTTTTTTTTTTTTTAGTTCACATGGATGTCAGCTGAGTCCTCAGCCCAACACTTTTTCAGAC